TGAAGCCTCGGTATTTTTCGATTAGCCATAGTGCCTTGCATGAATTTTTCTAAAGTATCCTCCAATTTACTTATTCTATCGAGCACTTGAAGGATAATGTTGTTGTTCTTGTTGATATGGAGGTTGTCGATATGATTGTTGTTGAAATGCGGGTTGTCTAGTATAAGAGCTAACACCTTGGTTCCACCCAAAATTCTGATTCTGATTTTGATTCCCTCTCCATCCTTGTGCAAAATTATTCTGATAATTATTGGGATTAGGAAAATTGCCTTGTCTGCCTTGACTACTACCTTGGATCCCCATATAATTAGCTTCTTCTTGTTGAATGTCGCCTTGATAAGAACATTATTCATTTGCATGATCACCTCCACACACATCACAACTCATCTGTTGATTAAGAATAGATTGTACTGTGTGCATTTGTTGAGGTAATTTCTCTATATTCTGGTTCAATGCTTCAATTTGTTGCGTTATAAGTTTATTCTGGGCTAAGATAGCATCTGAGCTGTTAAGTTCAAGTACTCCCTTCCTTTGAATTGGATGTCTATCATGTTGGGCATGTTGGTCTATAAAGGCTAGTGCATCAATAATTCTGGTGACATGATCAATTTCTACATCCAACATAGATCCTCCTGATGCAGCTTCTAATAACATCTTTGCATCATGTCGCAAGCCAGTATAGAAAATATTCAACTGAGAAACGTCATCAAATCCATGATTTGGGCATCTTCTCAACAGTGATTTAAATTTCTCCCATGCTTCACAAAATTGTTCATCTGCTCCTTGTCTGAAAGAAGTGATGTCAATTTTTTCTTTGATGTAGCGGGATGGTGGGAAAAATCTATTCAGAAACTTCTCTTCTACACTACTCCAATTAGTCAGACTTTGATTGGGATGTGCTTTCAGCCATTCTTTTGCCCTACCTGCCAAAGAAAAAGGAAATAATATCAAATATGCATATTCAAGATTTGCTGCTCCAAATCTCATGGTATTAATCAACTCATAAAAAGTATACAAATGAATATAAGGGTCTTCATGATCCAATCCAGTGAATTGATGAGCACTAATCAAGCTTAAGAAAGCTGGATTCATTTGCAATGTATGATCATCTGGAATGACAATGCTGGAAAAATGTCTTGGACCTTGCTGCATAGCACAATTTCTAAGAGTTCTTCTAAGTGGATTTGCATTTGGGTTTTGATTTGGATTTGTATTTGGATCTGGATTCAGATTTGCTCCTTCTTCCGCCATATCTTCTATAATTGGGTTTGGTAAATCAAGTGTGAAAGAAGAATTAGCATATTCTCTTGTAGCTTGTTCTTGAGTTTCCCTTCTTCGAAGATACTCGTCCTCTTAAACGCATAAATCAAAAGAGTAACTCAAGCAAATATTAGCACAAACTAAAAACTAAATAATAATAATAATAATGAAAATAATGATAATAATAATAATAATAATAATAATAATAATAATAATAATGATAATAATAATAATAATAATAATAATAATGATAATAATGATAATGATAATAATAATAATAATAATGATAATAATAATAATAATAATAATAATAATAATAATGATAATAATAATTATGATAATGATAATAATGATAATAATAATAATAATGATAATGATAATAATAATGATAATAATGATAATGATAATAATAATGATAATAATAATAATAATAATGATAATGATAATAATAATAATAATAATGATAATAATGATAATAATAATAATAATAATAACGAAATAAAAATAAAATACTCAATAAGCTAAACAAATAATTCTCAAAGAACATCGTTCCCGAACAACGGCGCCAAAAATACTTGTTGAATTATTGGCAAGCGTACCAAAATTATCAATCGCAGTATAGTATTTCGATAAAATAAAAGTCGATCCTACGAGGAATGGTCTCAATGGAATTTCGATAAAATAAAAGTCGATCCCACAAGGAACGGTTTCAATGGAAATTCTCAATTATGCTTACTAAGTATATTAAAACAGATTGGGTTTTCCAAATAAGATTTGAATTGAAATTAAATGACAAAGAACTGTAAATTGTTGAGAAAATATCAATTAAAGGTACGTATGATTGACTTCCTTCCTTATCCTTCTTTTGTAATGGCTAAATCAATTAAGAACGTCAATTAACCTAACAATGTTGATGTCACCTACTCAAATCATCCATGTTGATTCCTCACACATGAAATTCATAAGAAAACCTAATAAATGTTGATTCCTCACACAATTAAGAGATTTTCCAGCATTAGGGTTAGGGTGTTTAAACACTTGATACATTCATTCCATTCTTGGCAATTAACGTAACAAATATTTCTACCGTGATCTAGGGTTCAAGATATATTTTCTAATCATACCTCAAACAATCAAGAATAAATCATTCCAAAGCATAAAGGATAAGAATAACAACATCAAAGCATAGATTAATATCTCAAAATATCACCATGATACAAAATAGTTCAAAGGAAGTGCACCGAATCCTAAGAGAATGAAGTTAGCCATTACAATGCTCCAATTGATGAAGAAGTGAAGAATTGATGAAGATTAGACAAAACCCTAACAGTAGTTGTGCCTCCTGTCCTCCAGGACTGCTTGCTTTTCTCAAAACACAACTTATCTTTTTATAAGAGAATTTGGGTCGGGTCTCACATCATTCATTCGCTTAAGCGCTCTTCTTTCTTTCAATTTTACTCCAATTATGCTGACAATTATGCTCATTACTCTTGTATCAAGGTATTCTCGAATTCATCATATATTGGGAGAAAAATATATTAAAATTAACATAAGTTAAGTGGTTTCATAACAATTTAAGACATAATTATATCAATTTTTTACCACTTAACATCAGCATAGGACTAAATTAGAAGATCGGAGTAAGAAGTACATATTTATCGGGTATGATGGAAAATCTAAAGCGTATAAATTGTTTGATCTTGTTAACAATAAAGTAGTGGTAAGTCAAGATGTTCACGTGGAAGAAACAAAACATTGGTGCTGGAGTAACCCGGCAGAAGAAGAAACTAGTTCAGAAATTGTTGTGACTTCAACAATAACAACTATTGAGTCCTCAGATAAAGAAATAGAGCCACAACAGTCCAAGATGAGAAGTCTGCAGGAAATATACGACACTACAAATGAAGTTCGTGTTGTATGTCTTCTGGCTGACTCTGAAGACTTGAGTTTTGAGAAAGCTGTCCAAGATGAGAAGTGGAGAACAGTCATGGATGAGGAGATTGGAGCGATTGAACGCAACAAAACTTGGGAACTGATTTACCTTCCTAAAGGAGCTCGACCCATTGGAGTAAAATGGGTGTACAAAAAGAAGATGAATGTTGAGGGAGAGGTTGAACGTAACAAGGCTCGACTTGTGGTGAATGGCTATAGACAAAAGGAGGGAATCGATTATGATGAAGTATTTGCTCCTGTCACGAGAATGGAGTCAATCCGACTTCTGATCTCATTAGTTGCTCAGAACCAATGGCCGATTTTACAGATGGATGTGAAGTCGGCATTTCTAAATGGAGTGCTTAAGAATGAGGTGTATGTTGAGCAACCACTCGGGTACATGAAGAGAGGGGATGAGAAAAAGGTGTTGAGATTAAGAAAAGCTCTCTATGGGCTGAAGCAGGCTCCTCGTGCCTAGAATGAGAGAATTGATGGGTATTTCAAGAAAAATGGGTATGAACAATGTCCATACTAGCATGCTTTGTACACAAAGAAATCAGAAAAGGATATGATGGTAGTCGCTCTGTATGTCGATGATCTCATATTCATCGGAAGCAACACGAAGCTAATTAAGGAGTTCAAGGAAGTAATGAAGAAAGAGTTTGAAATGACAGACTTAGGGCTGATGAAATATTTTCTTGGCCTAGAAGTGAAGCAGTCAGAGGAAGGAATTTTTATATCCCAAGAGAGGTACGTGCTTGAAATTTTAAAGAAGTTTAAAATGGAGGACTGCAACCCGGTTTCCACTCAAATGGAACCGGGCACTAAACTCTCAAAGTTTGATGGAGGAAAACGAGCTGATTCTGGGAGATATCGAAGCTTAATCGGAAGTCTAAGGTACCTTACAAGTACAAGACCCGACCTAATGCTGAGTGTTGGGATAACGAGCAGATACATGGAGAATCCAAGCTACACACATTGGAAGGCCTTAAAGAGAATTATGAGATATGTTCGAGGAACCTTATCACTTAGTCTTTTCTATTCAAAATCGGATTATTACCAACTAGTGGGTTACTCGGATAGTGATTGGTGTGGTGATGTTGATGACCGGAAAAATACTTCAAGTTATGCGTTCCTACTCAAAAGACAACTTTTACTTGGCTGTCAAAGAAACAGCCCATTGTAACTCTGTCAACCTATGAGGTCGAGTATGTGGCAGTCTCTTGGAGTGTGTGTCATGCAGTTTGACTTTCAAATCTACTAAGGTATCTGGGAGTGATCCAAGACGAAAAAACTGTAATTCGAGTTGACAACAACAAGTCGGCGATCGAGTTGGCAAAGAACTCGATTAATCATGGAAGGAGCAAGTACATCAACGTCCGATTTCATTTCATCCGAGAACAAGTCAGAAAAGGAAAGGTTGAGCTGAGCATGTTGAAAGTCGAGCTCAAGCTGCTGACATATTCACCAAACCACTACCATCTACACTGTTGGAGAGTTGTAAAAGACTTATTGGAATAAGAGATGAAAAGAATATTTAAGTTTAAGGGGGAGATTTATTGTAAAACATAAATTAAACGTTTAGTATTCCTAAAATAATATTAATAGTTTTAATTACGAGTGGTATAACCAATGGATTGTAAACTTATTTAATACGCATCATGATTTATTTACTTTTGAGATTTTAAGAGTAAGATATTTTGATTATAAATACTTGTAATAACTAATTTTAAATTTTGAAATAGCATACCAAAATATTGAGAGGATTGTTTCGTTTCCTCTCATTGATGTTGGCAAACTCAACGAAGATGCTTACACCCCAAAGGTTGTTTCTATAGGCCCTTTTCACCATAATCACAGCCACCGCCTTCAGACCATGGAGAGACACAAAATAATGTATTGCAAGAAACCCACACAAGTTTGGAAAACTGGATCCGCTACATAGAAAGCGTGGAGCCCAGATTTCGTGGCTGTTACTCAGACACACTTGAGTTCAGCCAGAAGGAACTGGGAAAGATAATATTTGTGGATTCAGGTTTTATTCTTGAACTCTTTTGGAGATACCATAGTAGCACATGGTCAAGTGACGACACGTGTCTTTCATCACCTTGGTTGAGCAATACTATACGATATGATTTGTTGTTACTTGAGAACCAGCTTCCTTTTTTTGTTCTTCAGGAGCTCTTCTCTCTGTCCTTCCCCTCTACGTCTAACTGTGGTGGTAAAAATAACCCTTCACTCATCGAGCTTGCATTTGACTATTTTGCCTACTACAATAAATCCAGCTTGTCTTTTGATGACATTACGATAAGGCACTTCACGGATCTGATACAAATTTTTCACTTAGAACATGCTATGGAAAGACAACCTTCAAGGACCTGTAAATTGCCGACACATCTTCCTAGTGCTACTGAGTTGTCAGAAGCAGGAATAAGCTTTAGAGTAAACACCGAAAGTAAGTGCTAGACTTGAGATTTTCAGGAGGGGTTCTTGAAATCCCGCAATTAGATGTGGATGATTCGACTGAACTAATGTTTCGCAACATGGTGGCTTTGGAGCAGTGTCACTATCCTCACAACTCCTACATTACAGACTATATTCTTGTTCTGGACTTCCTAGTTCAGCAAAGATGTGGATAACCTTGTTGGAAAGAGAATACTGGTGAACTATTTAGGGCACGGCGATTCTGTGGCTAACTCGTTTAATGGTCTTTGGAAAAATATCACGCAGATAAATTTCAGTTCCCATTACTTTTATATCTGCGAAAAGTTGAATGATTTCTATAGAAATCCTTGCCGTAAGTTGAAGTCCACTCTGAGACGTGATTATTGCAACAGTCCTTGGCAAACTGCTGCAATTGTTCTCCTTATTCTCTCTTTTGTTCAAACACTTCCTTGCGTCTGGCAAATGAGGCATCAATAGAGTGCCTCCCCAAGACCTGTGGTCAATCAGTGTTTCTATCTTCCTTGTTTGAGTTTTATGTTTTTTCTTCTTTCCTTACTTTTTCCTAGTTTTATTTTTTGAATGCTCAACTGATATTAACTCAGTTGTTTTTATTTTTTATTTTTTTGTGCTTGTTGTAGTGTGTAACTTTTTTGCCGTTAATTATTAATGTACCATCTTTCGTTGTTTCAACGGAAAAAGAATATATATTTTTTTCCTCATCTATTTTGAAAATTTTATCCCTTAAATGAATTTCATTTGATCTTTTTTGTTCTAAACGTGATTTTAGTCTCTTCTCTTTTTATATTATATTTTTTAGAAGTTTATTAATTTTTTAAGAGAATTGTCATGGACAGGATTGAACCCGAGTACTTTAGAGGCTGATACTCCAACCACTAAACTACTAGAATTTTTTGATAATAACTTACAAATAAATTATATTTATATACAAATAAATATATATCCAGTGTAAATATATAAATATATAAATACAAATATATTTATATATTTTGATATATTTATATAGTTATATATTTATATGTTGGATGTGAGGGCACACTTGAAAGTGAAAGTGTGTGTCGAGTAGGTTTTCAAAATTTGATGCTAAATTTGTGAGCGAGTATCTTTATATGAGTTTGTAATTTAATGACAGAATATAATTTTTATAATTTTATTTATATAATGATATAAAATAAATTTGGGAAACGCGTTATTTGCTCTCAAGCGAAAAATACCAATTTTCGCTCAAGCGAGACTTGAGTAAGTGAATTTCCGTGAGCTTTAACATATTTTCACTCAAGCAAGAATCAATCACACTTTCACCCTCGATCGAAAAATACCAATATAATTTATTTGTAAGTTATTATCAAAAAATTATAGTAGTTTAGTGGTTGGGATATTAACTTTCAACCCTAAAATACCGAGTTCAAATGCTTATCGATGACAATTCATTAACTTAAGAGAATTTTTGGCTGAAAATAAAAATAAAAATACTTTCCAGAAAATATATACAAATAAATATATATTTACATGGATATATATTTATTTGTATATAAATATAATTTATTTGTAAGTTATTATTAGAAAACTCTAGTAGCTTAGTGGTTGGAGTATCGACCTCCAACTCTAAAGTATTAAGTTTGAATCCCGCCAATGACAATTTTCAAATTTAAGTGAGTTTTTGGGTGAAAAAAAAAAGGACTTTCTACGTCGGTTCAACCGACGTAGAAAGGACTTACCGACGTAGAATGTGTCTAATATTCAACTTTCAACGTCGGTTCATCTGGGAACCGACATGGAATGTACTTTCTACGTCGTCTCAGCTATAACCGACGTTAAATGACGATGTAGAAAGTATATTTTGTAGTAGTGTACATTTATCAAAACTTTGCATTTTAATTAATATAAATCTCATGTTTTAGTCTATATAATTTCTTTTTAGTCTTTGTTGTTTTTGTCAAATAATTTTGTTAATTTAAGTCTAACAACAAGGGAAAATTGAAACTTATCATGGAAAACCACTATAAAGTTTTTTGGCAAATTATTAAACCATTAGAATATTTTTATTATTATTAAACTGTTAGAAATTTAAAATATAGATGTTTCTAGGCTGCATGACCGGATATGAATTGAGATGACGGGTTCAGATTGGACAGGTTTCGAACGGGCTGAATAGGTTAAAATGGTGATGGGCCTAAATTAGGACATTGTCCAAATAATTTATGGATAAATTCGTCCAATCAAACCCGATTTGATATGTACAAATCTGATTAAGGTTTAAGCCCAATAGTAGTTCTAAAAGAAATTGGACCAAGAAATGAGGAGTTATGCTTATGCTTTATCAATTGATTGAGACCATGATGCAGAATAGGTGAATAGTATAGGTCCCTTAGGTAGTTATTTTCCACGTGGCACATGCATGGATCTCAATTATATAACTTTGGGAGAGGTAGTGTGTTTGACCTGTAAACCAAAGCTAAAACCATTTATTTCAAAGGAAGGAAAAGGAAACCTTTAAACATGCTTGGTTGGGTTGAAAAGAAAGAAAAAGGGAAACTAAAGCTTTTGAAAGTGTATCTTATTTTTTTCGTGCATTGAATTGGATAAAAAGTCCTAACCTTGACTGCCACAGTGTAGGGTTTTCAACTCGCTGGGTGGTTTAGTTTTGATGGTATTTGGGACCCAACTGACATTACAAATCCTCATGATTAAAGATGTTTTTGTTCTGCTTTCATCAACAACTGTCTTTCGTAGGTCTTGTCTTTGTTACATTGCCATGAAACCAACAAACTCCCACACAACCACTCATACAAAACAAAATCACTTAAAACCATGTGCTGGCACCCTTCTGCTGAAGTTAAATAAATCAATTCCTCAAATGTTTTCAAAAATACCTCCCTTAATTATATCTTCTCCCATGAATTTCATCAACCAAAGTTTAGTATAACGAGATTTTGTGTGTGTGTGTGTGTGTAATCGCATATGATGGGGAATATGCATTGTACTAAAATGGCTCAAATTGCGTAGTTGGAAACCCCAAAGCACATGACTAAGAGGTACTTCACCAAAGCACATGATTGAAGTAACATAAAGCTTAGACTAAAGTGAATTTAAAGAATCTTGTTAAAAGCTATATAATGGAGTGTAGTAGCAGACACTAATGAAGTGTGGTTACTTTTGACCAATGCGTGTTGCTGTTAAAACGTAACCCCGGAGGTCAATGGGGAAACCCATGAAATGTATCATAAGCTTATAAAGTTTCGGAATCCTATGTCATTTGATGCTTTCAAAATTCTACTTATTCTTTATCTGATTTAGAAACCACAGTGCTTGGTTTTGATTAATTAAGCATGGTGATTTGGTGATTAAACCCCCTCCGTTGATCCATGTAATAAACAAATTTTATATTTTAATTATATTAGATAAGTTTCACTTTAGTGCCAAAGGATTTCTTTCAACCAATCAAAGCTTTTAAATGCCTTTTCAGAATGAACTATAAGCTATTTCTGATGGACTGAAATTAGATATTGGATAATATCAGTCTTGTCCTTGTCCTTTACTATCTGATTAGGTGTTTATTTCGCTTTAAATTTTGGATTAGACACTTAAGACTATCAGACATTATTAATTACTTTTGCTTTCTTTTCTTAATTTTTCTTCCCCAATTAACCATAGTTACATTGTTCATTTCTTGGGAGGCATATCCAACAACAAAACCTAGCCTTGGCATACATCTTTATAAATTTGGGAAAGTTCTTCTATTAGCCATCAAATTTGTAATATGCATCATTAATTAAGGTGTGTCACAATATAATAAGTTAAAACTATTTATTCAGACAATAATTTATTATACCAGAGAACAAATTCGAAAAATGATAACTCGAAAATGGCGAATATATTCATAAAAAAAATTAAAATTAAAATGTTACCTAATAATCTAATATTCATTTAACAGCTTTCAAAGTTATGAAGGAGATGATTATATTTAGAAAGGATCTTCTCTATCAATTCATGTCAATCATATGTACAACAAAATGACTCATCTGTACGAGAGATCTTAATTTAGAATAGTATCATTGCAATTACTAGATAACGTTCAGGGAAATGGTACAATAATTTCTTCAACATATAGTATAGAACTTGCAGCAGGCTGTTCCTTTTCAAATTTTGATCTGGATGGTCTAAAGTATTAAATTCACTTTGTCTTGACCTATGGTTAGGTTAATGTATAAGCTATTCTTCATTTCAAAACTAGCTAGAAACCGCGCATGATGAATTCTTTTTAAGTAAGATTGTTATCATTTCATACATGCACACACATGGTTATACGCAAACTGCTAGGTGAACTTTGTTATGATGATTTCGTCTCTCGCAGTGGTCCTTATTATATTAAAGAACATTGGGTTGTAACATTGAGTTTTACGACTACAGTTATGTTATGAATCAATTATTCCTTGGACCACGTCTCCACTGTAAAGCTACAAGTGTGTATATGTGAGAGTTAAAGAGAGAAAGACAGAAGCAAAGAGCATCTTTTCTGAACACATGTAGGAGAATTAGATAAAGAACACTTTGCACTAAATCATAGCGAGGCTTAGAAGCTAGATAGCTGGCTAGCCCCTTCTCGAAACACATTAACACTGATATTAAATTTTTGATACTTAGAAAAGTACATGGACTAGCTGCTGAGTCATATACCAGAGTCACTCTCAGTGCCAACAAAACCTCAAAATCATAACTCACCTAAAGCTTCCTAGCTGGAAGAAAATCAAATTAGAAAAAGCAAAAATAAATATCCGCATGAGAAGATGATGATGATGAAGAAAGTAACATTTGGAAGCAAGAGACAAAAAAAAAAAAAAAAAGTAACTATCGCTAGGAAATAGGCATAGCCTCTCCATTCTCTCCTTGACAGCAAACCTGTAATTTACAAAACAAAGACCATGAGTTCATGTAAATCTTTCTACATGCATTGTATGACAGAGATAGCATGATGAAATAATTTGATAATAAAGATGGTTACAATTAATTACCACATTGATCCAGGAACTCTACGACGAATAGGGAGACCTGCCACTACTAGAATCCCTGGGTGCATTGCATCGATAGCACTCCATTCTGTTGGCGAAGTTATGCTCGTTGCATCCAGACCTGCACATTTTAATCACACCTATCCATCAATATCATTACGCTTTTAATTACTCGTATTTTTATTTATTTAAATCATAATAATAAACAAAGAAACAGAGATAATTATGTACTATGTCAGATATTCGGTATTCAAATTATAACATGAGATATAGATATAATTAGTACAAACACGACAGTGTGACATTTAAAAAATTATATCACGTACGTTACACATCTACCGTATAATTTATTTATTTTTTCAGAATTTAATATTAACACGAATACAAAATAATAATAATAATAATAAAAAAAGATAAAATTAATATTTAAAAGAATGATTATAACCTAAGTAACAGTGCTTTTTATATGTATTTGATATAATAATTTAAAAAATAAAAAATAATGAAATTCAGCTAAGAATATTTACAACTTTCGTGAATATTCAATATATATACACGAAAGTACATTGTTTTGAAGTGTTGCTTTTCATATCCAAGGTATCAGATAAAGGCACAAGTGAGTGACATAGTAGAAATTCTAAGATATCTACAAAAAAATAAGAATTTTGGCATTGTTATTGCAAAAAAAAAAAAATCATTTTCATTTGCCAGTTTAAACCATTCAACTATACATTGATATGTACCTGGTGCATATCCAGTCACCGGATTTCCAGCCAGGGCGGGCGGAGGAGCCGCCGCCGCCGCCGAAGCCGAAGGGTCTCATTCGGGTCATGTCGACGTCGTATGATCCGGTGGAGGAGTCTTCTTTGGAGACACCGCACTTGAAGCAGCTGGAGCGGCTGGCGAAGTTGTGGGCTCCACAGTTTCCGACGGTGCAGTACCAGTCACCGGGGCGAACATCAGGGCCGGTGGTGAAGCTAAAGGAGGAAGAGCCTCTGCCAGCGAAGCCGCCGTAGTCGCCGCCGCTCCTTGGCTCACCGCATCGCTGGCACGATTCTCTTCTCTGGAAGTTGAGGTGGTTGCATGTCCTGCAGTTCCAATCTCCTGGTCTGCTCATTTTCCCTTCATTGTTTCCAAATTCCACCATGCATATATACAGTTATTATTCTCAATATAGTAGGATAAGTATTAAAAGCAATTTTATTCCTACTTATTCTATGGTAAAATATATGATAAAGAAAATCGTAGGAATAAACAAAGAATGTTAACGTAGAAGAACGAGAAAGTGAACAAGGAAACGTATGTATGCATGAGAAAAGAAGAATAAATATTAAAAATGATGAAGGAAGAAGACTATGTAGAACTAGGGAAGGAATGATACTACCTCCGGAGTAACGAGAGTGAAAAAAGATTGAAGGTAGTGAGTGGAAGTTAAAGAGGGAGATGTTATTGAATTGTGTGGTTGTGGTGCAGACGAGTGTAGATGGCTGAGGTGGTTTATATACTGCCAATTAAGGCCTCGAAAATCGGGCAGATCGAAGTAACTAGCTAGCCAGTGTGCAGGCAGAGCAACGGGTGGTTCTTTTTTGTTTCCTTCAGCCCAATGTGAGATCATCATAAACTAAATTTGGAAAAAGGGTAAAAGGAATTTTTCAAGTGCCACTCCATACACACCATATATATTAACTATGTAATAAATTAAAAATTATGTGAGTATGAAATCGGCAATACTATTTTTTTTTTTTAGGGTTTTTGGAGATGCCATGCCAAGTACACATATCATATCACTGACTAGTGCGTGTATTTTATTTAGATACAGATATGCTAAGAAAAGGGAATGTTAGAAACAGCGAGTTGGCATCATGCACGTAAAAAATAAAAAAATGATTTATGGAAATTAGAAGTAAGTTGTTCAACTTTGTCAAGCTGCTCTTTTTTGTCCCCACATAAAGCAAATTAGCATGCATTGTAACCTCTAAACACCACAATGCCCATTGCCCATGCCCTGTCTTTTAAATCTTGTAGTCCATAAATGATAGCAAAAGACCTTTTTGACTGTGGAGATGTGTTAACTGGACCCTCATTTATAGTGAAGTGGCGGGGAAAGAAAAGAATCACGATAAAATGGTCCTTATTATTACCTTACGATCACCGGCCGCATGGTCTCCGAGTGCATCTTTTTTAATTTTCCTCTTTTTGATGTCATTGATCAATGAGAGGATTGGATAAGAAGAAGGGAAATCCATTGTTTATCACCAGACAAAATGAATATATTCCTCACACTTCAAGGAAAACCTTAAGATCAGAGATTGTTGACCCCAGTGCGTAGTGGCCCAGCTCATTCCCATATTCATAAATAATTGCCAAGGAGGTGTCATGTCTTACTTTCAATATTATACTTTCAGAACCTGCCCCGGAGTTATAAGGGTCGTCACAAACTATACATGCATGGTAAAAATTGGTGCTGCTTTTCAATTTTGAATATTCCTCTTTTGTACTTGGGACTTAATTTCTTTTGGGCGTAAGTCAAAAGGATTATAATATCACATAACCTTGTTATGTAATCTTCTTTCTTTTAATATTTTATATTTCCCCTCCATCTTACTAACCTAATGAATGATCAACATCATGGAATCTAAAATGTCCTGCATAATTTCCAATCCCCCCTAATTAAATGAATTTTATAGGCGTGTGTTTCCATTTCCAAACATACTCTACCAAATCATTCAACAGAAGGAAGTTATTATAAAAGCTATGAATCCTAATCTTTAGTTAAAGTGGTCCCAAATGCAAATAGTAGTTCATGTTTGGAGAATTGTTGGTAACACATACAGAACTTTGTCCTAACCCAGCGACAGAATATAAAGAAGGCATATATATATATATATATATATATATATATATATATATATATATATATATATTTTAGTAATGATAGTGGCGACGAGATTTTGGACCACGAAACATATAAATGTGTGTTACTGTGTATTATAATGAAAAAATTGAAGATCACTCGTGCATGTCAGATGGTGAAGATCTAGTGGGTAAAATTATGTATAGCTCCAAGACGTAGGCGATGTTAAAGTAAAAGTTGCATGGCCATTACTTCAAGGAACGTCCTTGGTTCAAATTATTGCACTACGATGCCACTTAGTGAAAGAGAAACGATTCTCATTGATGACTAAACGTTGATTGGAATTGAAGGAATAGTTCAAAAATCAAAGAAAGGAGCAAAACTTGGTAGAGTTTCGATAAAGATAGTCGAAGTTGATGATGATGGAAGAGAAGTCTTCGAGGTTCAAATTTTGACCGATCTTTTCTTTTTCTTTTTCCCCTTCGTTACACTGATATGGCTTTTTCGCTGTCATGTTCTTTTCCTTCCTCATTATCGCATATTCTCTCACTCTTTTCCCTCTCTCTCTCTCTCTCTCTCTCTCTCTCTCTCTCCCTCTCCGTGAGAAAGAAAGGGAATTAGCTATAGGGAATAACAGCAAAGAGGGAAAAACATATAGCACGAAAACCCCCAAAAAAAAATAAAAAGAAGGAAATCTTAAAACTAATAGAAATCACCCACCATTTTTCTTGGGGAATGGTAAAGAAGGCTGTAGCAAGCTGTGAAAGCAAAAAGAAAGGGGAGGGAGAGTACTGATTCGATTCTCTTATTGGGAAATGCTTCCATGCATGACCATATCACCAAACCCATATATCTAACGTATACTTCTACTCTTTACTTTTTCTTTTTATTTTATCTTCTTATTCTATACACTACACAACACAACATATATCTATTTATCTCATTCTCATTTCCTACACACTACATTTATACAGATTATGGCCTCAAAAATTAAACCTGCATCCATATCAGGAACACAGACCACGCTTTGTGCTTTATTAACGTACATGTACGCGTACTTCTAAAATTTACAAAAAAAAAAAAAGAAAATCTAATCTTACAATATCACGTAAAGCAAGAAATTCCCGTATGTGGTTGTTTTAACTGTTTCCGAATTTGTCTTCGTCTGAGTTGTATAACTGTTTTAACTTTTTTTTTTGTACGAGAAACACAAAGCCAATTACAAATGTAGAAAATATAATTAACATGAGATGTACGTATTATTAGAGTTACATATATAATTATTTTTTATGGTTGCATGCACGTGAGTTGGTAGAAAGATGTGAGTGACGCCATCAGAATGATAAAAGTTTTCTCTTTTCTTTTACTTTTTACACCTCCAATATCTTTTATAATATGCTCTGAGAGTCCCCAAAATGTCTATCTTCTTTCATTTTTCACAGTTTTCTACCAAAATTACTGAAATGTCGTAAACTTCAAATTAAATAGCTTTTCTCTCGACTCTCAAATGTGCCAAAAGCTACCTAAAATGTAATGTATGTGGTTTTTAATGTTAAAGATTGTTAAATATAAATATTGTTAAAAAATAAAGAAAGATAATGGAATTTCAGACTAATTAATGTGTTGCTGCCTTGACGTGAAGATAATAAACTTTGGTGTACACCTTTTGTTTGATTTTGTAAGAAGTAAATTCAGTTTCCGTTATAAGGAAATTTTTATTCGAGACGTGAGTTTTTGTTAAAAGTAACCATCTTTCCTGACGTGAGACATCAGGGACCATGTGGATTATTAATAATATTCTAAGAAATTTTAATTGACTACAGTGTCAAATGTGATGTTCGTACTATGATTTTTTTAATGATATGATATGTTTGATAAATACCATAATTTATTAACTATATTAAAATTTTTGCTCTTCTCAATTTGAATCCTTTATTTTATAATGGAGAATGAGAGTTAAGCTATTTGGAAATTATGCGCTTTAAAGAAAATTTACAAATTTCAATTCCAGAAATTTATGTTTCTCATTCTCCATTTGTAATTGTAAGTTTCTCCTTCTATTCACATAAATAATGTTTCTGTGTTATTTTATGCACAATTTCTGATATGCCTATTTAACTTTTGTTGTTGTCTCCTGGGTTATTAAGTGTATTTCTTTTTTCTCTCTCTCAAAGTTAATAAAAACACGAGACCAAATAGAATATAATGCAAAAAGTATAGTAATTCATAAATTTGCTAACTACTCTTTTTTATCGTGTTAAAAAAAATGGTAATTTATTAATATTTGAAACAATGTCCTATTTAAATGGGCACGAATCATTAGACCCATAAATTATGCATTTAGGAAACATAATATGAACACGTTGCTCCGCACACTAACTTGTTTTGCTGGTAAAGGTTGGTTAAAAATAAGAAAAATATTTTATTATAAATATTATATTTGAGTTGTTTAGAAATAGAAAAGATTATTTAAAATAAAAAGAAAATCGTATATAATTAACTTTGGTCATTTTTTAAATAATTTATATATAAAACTTATAATAATTTTTTTTTTAAATAACTTTTACTTCAAAGATGGCGTAACAAAAGTTTCCAGAATATGTAGCAACTTTCTCGAATGGTAATTGAAGACTTTAACTAAAGTGTTTCAGTAATTAGTTTAGTGATTCTCCAAGTAACATTACAAAAAATAAAATCAGAGGATATGAAAAAAAAAAGCCTTTAACGATTGGCGTGTCATATATGAAGAGTGGGCTTTTTTCACTTTAATTAATCTTTTACACCTCCCATTCATTTTCTTCCGAAAGCCCACACTAAGCATACATTAAGTGTAAAAAAAAAATCGAGAAAAAAGAAAAACTAATACCCAATATTGTTTTCTGCACAAAACACCCCCTATCACACATAGCCCAATTTTTTCTTCATTTTGGTTATTTTTTCATTCACTCCCATAATTTTTCCCAGTAACCCATATTAATATAAAATGATAATATTATCCCTCGTAGAAATATGTTTTATAAAGCTCAATTCGAACTAACTTTCAAAAAGTTTTCTTGAAACTATAATCAGTTTTCAGAAATATATTTCGAAAACCCGATTCCAAAAACATTTGTAAAAACCTTTTAGAAAAGTAAATTTTAAAAAATCTTGGAAAAATTATTCTAAAAAACTTGTATTTTATAAAAATATAGTCCGCATTCAACGAATTGGAATACATTGTTATGAAACAAAATTCATAAATGAGTTTTGGATTATTAAGTTTATAATATATTTTTAGAAAATATAATTCAAAAAACAGTTATTAATTGTTAAATTTAAAATAATTTTAAGAAAACACAATTTAAAAATAAGTTTTAAAATAACTTATTTGAAACTCATTTAATTTTTTTTAAATGTATTTCGGATTAAAAATAATTTTCAACATCATAAATATAAATTAAATGTAATTTTTTTATGAAATTTTTAAATGCACAACCTATTATCCTATTCAAAACATAAAGTATAAAAATAGACCTAAAAAGACATTTTTAATATTATATATATATATATATATATATATATATATATATATATAAATGAAAAAAAAAACTTATTGAAACAAGGAAGAAGAAACCTTATTTTTAATTTCAATCAATACCCACAAAATAAGTCCTTTGAAGTCAAATGCAATAAAAAATACATTGCAACCTTCATCCAAGTAGGACACCACATACATACAATAAAAAAAATCTAAAATAATTATATTTCAAAATTAAAAAGGACTTAAATTAAGAGAGAAAGTGTCTTAACACATGTTATATCATTCATAACAATAACCCACATATCAAGAGTGTATATATTAAAAGTAAAGGTTAAAAATAATCAAGAAAGAAGTGTATACACAATAAAAAACAGTTTTAGCGACCGATAAATTCAGTAGCTAATTACAAAAAATCGAATGTCAATATATTACTTGAATTATTTAAATAATAATTTAAATTGATCGCTAAATAAGTCATAAAAATAGCGACCAAAATTAATATATTAAATCGGTTACTAAATTAGTAACAAAGTTTAAAAAAATAGTGACTGATATAATCGATCGCTACTATATTAATTAAATTATTTAAATAATAATTTAAATTGATCGCAAAAATAGCTCCGAAATAATTTCGATTGCTAAATTTTAATTGTATATTATAATATATTTGTAGTGACCAAAAATTCGGTCGCTAATCTAACCAAAATTGGAATTTTTTTTAAATTTTGTATATCCAATTTTCCAGAATTTGTACCGCTTAATTGATTCAAAATTTTAATTATCATAAATAATAAATGTCATCATCCCTGAATATTAATCATCCTAAATTTTA